AAGTGCTACCGCCAGACCCAGAGATCGGCTGAATGGATTCGAAAACGGTCAAACTCAACTGTTTAACTCTAGGGGAGCTGGAAAATGAGCCTATTTTCAAAAATAGTGGAGTGTTCCTTTAAGATAAGATTTACCCTGATTCATTGAACGATTTAGATGTTGTCAGTTGTCAAATATAATTCTTATTTAAATTGTGAATTACATTTTCAAGTATACATTTAAAACGTGAATGAATGAATAAATAAATAAATAAATAATGTCCTACCAGGATGATTTATTCATTCAAAATAAATGAATGAATGAATAAATAAATAGTGTCCTAAAAGCACGATTTAATTACTGGGTTACTTTTATTTCTTTCTTTATTTTTATTTGCATTACAGGAATAATGCAGATCTATTGATTTGAGGGTGAAATGTGAACTAGATATTTCTATGTAAGATTCAGCCAGATTAGATATCGTCACTTCAGTGAATGTATTTGATTTGCAGTTGATGCCAGCAGCTCTGGAGACTGCGATGGAGGAAGACGTTGAGTTCAGGAAGGGACTGCCGCTCGATTACCTTCAGTTCATGGGAGTTCAGAACTCTGAGAAGGTATTTGTGTTTCTACTCCATTAATATACAGAGCTGTACCGACACCGAAATCACTTGTGCGTGTGAACAGGAAGACCCACGGAGAGACAAATTCATTGCGCACGTCGAGGGCCTGATGAAGAAACTGGTCGATTATGCACCAGTCGATGCTGCTGTGGATCAGAAAGCCAGAGACTTCCTGCACGACTGCCTTCCACCGGTGCTGAGCGCTGGTGAGTCTCACAGTAACACCTCTACTGAAGGTCAGGGGGGGTGTTTTTGCTTTAAAATATCCCTTTTGAAAGGTCAGACATATAAACTTAAGCCAGTTCTGTAAGTTTCAGAAAAGTTTTGTCTGATAAATGTCTAAATATATAGCAGTTTTACAGAAATAACAGTTCATCAAGTATTTGTGTTGTATCAGATATTGCAGTAATACAATATCTGTTTTATACTGTATGTTAAACTCACCCGCAAAGAAGGTAATTGCTAATTTTAATCTCTTATCTCGGTTTTTAACTCAGAATTTTGAGTTTACATCTCGCTATCCTGAATTTTTTCTTGGAATTTTGAGTTTACAATTAGCAATTATGACTTTTTTTCCTCAGAATTTTCAGTTTACATCTCGCAATTGACTTTTTTTTTCTCATAATTTTTAGTTTGCATCCTACAATTCAAAATTTTTATTCAGAATTTTGAGTTTACATTCCACAATTCTGACTTTTTTCCCAGAATTTTCAATTTACATCTCACAATTCTGACTTTTCTTTGAATTTTGAGTTTACATCTCGCAATTGACTTTTTTTCTCATAATTTTGAGTTTAAATCCTACAATTCAAAATTTTTATTTAGAATTTTGATTGACTTTTTTTCAATTTTGAGTTTACATCTTGCAATTCTGACTTTTTCTCAGAATTTTGGGTTTATATCTCGCAAATCTGACTTTTTTCCTCAGAATTTTCAATTTACATCTCACAATTCTTTTATTTTTCGTAATTGTTTTTTTTTGTAAATGACTTTTATTCTCGCTTCTTTGCAAACTCACAATTGTGACTTTTTTTTCTCAGAATCTCACAATTCTGAGTTTGTATCTCGTTATTTATATCAAAATTATGAGAAAAGTATGAATTGTGAAATATAAACTGAAGAATTGTAAGGAAAAAGTAAGAATTTTGAGGGGGAAAAAACTCGCTATTACCTTCCATAGATTAAAGCTCAAACATTCATTCAATAAAATGCATTTGTGTGTGTTTTGTAGAGGAGAAGGCCAGCAGTGTGTACGGGGCTCCTGCTCGATGGGGAGACGGTGAGGCCCTTGATGTGACTGTTCAACTGAAGGGCCAAACCCAAATCAGACTCTTGGGGGCCGGAGCTGCAAGGTACCAATACGCAGTATTTTCTATAACCCTGATCAGTCTTCTCAATCTGGTATTGTAAGTTGCATAAAGTGAATTTGTAATCTGAACTGAATGTGATGAGAGAACTTGTATAACTGATTTATAAAGATATACATTCAGTTTGTTGTTTTGTTGTAATAAATAGTATTTTAATTTAATAAAATGTTTGAATATAACATGTCTTCATAGGTTGTGCGGTGATGGAGACACTGTGACTCTTTTTTACACTACTGAGAACTCTAGAGTCTATCATAAAGAAGAACCCAAGAGCATTGAGATGAAAGCAGAGGTGAACACGCGCTCTTGTCTGAAATGACTGCAGCTTTGACCGTCTTTAAGCATTTGACTGATCGTGTTTCTTTTTAACAGCACATAGATGCCATGGAGTTTCTGATTCATTCATATCCCAAGTTTGTTTCTGTGGCCTGTTTGCCATGTGAGACAGTGGAGGCAAAGGTACTGCATGCATTTGTTTTATACTTAAGGACTTCAGCCATTAAAGACCTGTTCAAGTTGCTTTTATGAATTAATGCGTGTGGTGAGTTTGAAATTAATGTTATTTTGCAGATGTCTCTGGCTGAGCTGCTCTTTGAGAAGGGACTGATCCACACAGCCGAACCTTTGACAGCTGAATAAAAACAGTATTTTGTGGCTAAAGAAAATGAGTGTCCTATGTCATATGCTTATCATCTGTTGTAACTACATATTTTTTGTAAACTGAAATTGTCTCCAATGTGTATAAAACATCTTTAGAAAGCAAACCAAGAGTATTTTTGAGGTTTCTTTGTCCTGTTGACTAGTCTGAAAATAAATTAATATATGTCTGTGTATGTGTGTGTACAGAATTGCTCAAGTTAAACTTAAAATGTTATTATACATTGACAAGGCCATGCATACATTTTGGGAAAACAAGCGCGTATAAATTTGTTCAATCAGTTATAGTTGCACCAGTGCTAAAACAGTGTGTTAAAACGGTTTAGTATTGGTATCTTCTAACACCATATGCTATTGTGTTCAAATATGAAAAAAAGGTTATTGCAGGTGTTATTTTGGTCATATTCTCTTAACAGGCCAAGTAAAACCAGATAGGAAATCAAAATTATGTGAAATTATCAAAACACATGATGCAGCAAAAACAGACTCTTCTGTAGTTACATCGTGTACTAAGACCGAAGGAAAATTAAAAGTTGTGATTTTCTAGGCCGATATGGCTAGGAACTATACTCTCATTCTCTCGCGTAATAATCAAGGAACTTTGCTGCTGTACTATGGGTGCAGCAGGCGCAATGATATTACGCAGCGCCTGAAAATAGGCTAACTTCCGTCAACATAACCAACGTGACCACCTGCTTGCACAGGGAGCGTGCTGGGGACTATTTTCAGGCACTGCGTAATATCATTCCTAACCATATCGGCCTAGAAAATCCCAACTTTTAATTTTCCTTCGGTCTTAGTACGCGATGTAACTACAGAAGAGTCAAGTTTTAAATGGGAAAAATATAGAAACTCTTTGGTCATTTTTGAGCGAGATGCTAACGGTCTAATCAGATTCAGTGATCTATGCTAAGCTACAACTAAAAGTGCTACCGCCAGACCCGGAGATCGGTTGAATGGATCCGAAAACGGTAAAACTCAACTGTTTAACTCTAGGGGAGCTGGAAAATGAGCCTATTTTTAAAAATAGTGGAGTGTTCCTTTAATAACTTGATGACTCTGATGTGGAGCAGGAGTTTGGACTGAATAGAAACCAGCCAACGTATAAAATCTCCCATCATTTGTCCTTGATGTGCTGTAAATAAAAACTACAAGGCATTACAGAACTAAATACAAAATTTATTGCGCCACATCATGGTGAAACATGGTGGATGAACAAACATTATACACATAGTGGGCACAGGGTCCAATAAATATCACTGCAGGAGTCTCACTTCCAGGTGTATTCCTCACCAGGCTTCAGTTCCCTGAAACCAGAAAGTTACAGATTCAAAAATAATTCATTTACAAAGACACGCTTTGGTTTTAAGACATCTTTATAAGAAGTCGTGTGACCTGCTGTATAAAGCACTCTTGTTCCTGAATGCTGTGAGTTTCTGGTCATTCCATCGGTCCAGATAAACCCCGATGACGAAACCCAGAGGGACCAGGATATTGACCCAGTGCTCACGAACTGCTGCTGCGAAGTTCACCATGATGCCTGTGATTAAAGAAAACAGGGTAAAACTTTACAATAAGGTTCCAATAGTTAGTGTTAGCTAATGTATTAACAAACATGAACAATGCATTTATTACAGTATTTTTGTTAATGTTAGTTAATGAAAATACAGTTGTTCTCTGTTCGTTCATGTTAATTCACAGTGCATTAACTAATGTTTACAAGCACAACTTTTGATTTTAATAATGCATTAGTAAATGTTGAAATTAACTAAGATTAATAAACGCTGCAGTATTGTTCATTCTTAGTTCAAGTAAACTAAGTAGTTAACTAATGAACCTTATTGTAAAGTGTTAGCGAAAACATAAATGAAGTTGAATGAGTAATGCCTTCTGCTTAAATGCTTGATTACAGAAAATAAATAATGAATTGTGGCTCGTAAGTCTACACATGTCAGTATATATGTGAAGTGTATGATTATGTCAGTTATGTGGAGTCAAAGACATCAAATAGTCACAGCAATTCTGCAGCATACATTGATCTGTCTACATAAACCTAGTCTAACCTTATTAATATCTACTGACTTAAATAAAACATCGAAGTAGAAATGTCATAACAAAAGCAATCATCACATTTATAAATGTTTGTGTTGATGTGAAGGTGACTGCTCTGGGCCTGCGTCCTCACATAAACACGAGATTTTAATCCCATTGCGTCCGCAGAAAACTCTTATAAACGTTTACTTAACTTTAATACTCACAATTAAGCATAGAACACGTTTATTAATTGAATATATATAAATTTAAAGTCATTTACCGTCCGTTAGTTTCCTCTGTGTGTTATTAGCACAGCAGCATTAGCAGGACTGTACCAACTATCAAGGGGAGGAGCTACAATTTTCCTTTCCACACCATTGAAACGTTTCTATTTAATTGTTTTAAATATGCTACATTGATATAGGTGATATATAATAATAATTTTTAAAAAACATAAAAAAAATTCTAATATGTTTTGTTTTGTTTTTGACAGTTTGATAGTAGAAAGTATGGTGGCCGTGAAGTGCAAAGCAAATCATAATTCTGAAAACAAAATAACAAATTACAAACGCAAATGCAAGTCTAAAAAACAAAATAACAATTCAGAAAGCACAACAACAATTCAGAAAACATTATAACAAGTCAGAAAACACAATGACAAATTCGAAAACAAAATAACAAGTCAGAAAACACAAGCCACTTTTAACTAAATGTAAATAGACACTCCATATTTTTTGATTGACAGATGTCTCGTCCAGTCAGCGGTGAGTAATCCCAAACCAATGGTGCTGTCTCAAACTATACCTACCTCTTCCGGTTTGTCTGATTTGTCGTTGTGTTTTCTGACTTGTTATTTTGTTTTCGAATTTGTCATTGTGTTTTCTGACTTGTTATAATGTTTTCTGAATTGTTGTTGTGCTTTCTGAATTGTTATTTTGTTTTTTAGACTTGCATTTGCGTTTGTAATTTGTTATTTTGTTTTCAGAATTGTGATTTGCTTTGCACTTCACGGCCACCGTAAGAAAAGCTGAAGAATTATTACCATTACATCCAGACATTTTTCTTTTATACTTTTCTCATCAAAACCTACGTTTTAGAGATAGAATCAATCCAAACATGTTGTATAGTATAAATAAAAAGTGAGCTATGTGCCTTTCACGATACGCATTATGAGACTTTTGTTTTGTATTTGTAAGCGCCCCCCTGCTGTTGTCAGTGGTAGAGTCCAGTGACGTCGCAGCGGCAGTAATGGCTGCTGCTCTCATGCCGCAGATCTGAAACATTACCATAAATTTAATATGATTTTTCAGCGATTTCCACCACTTATTATTGACCAAACCAGCTGAGATCAAAAGTGACATAACGAGATACGGGTATGCACGTTTTAATGTACATAAAGCAAGTCAGTTTTTAAAGTAAATCTCTTCATTGGTTTGGCTGCTGTGTGTTTTCATTGAGTTCAGATTATTCTGAAAGCTGAGTTACTGTATCATGGATGAAGGCTTATGAATATTCAATTCATTCATTCTTTGCCCTTCTGCCTCAATTTGTGTCCTGAACTTATAGTTCTGTTCATTACATACCGCTGTTATTTTTTGCATATTCATCATCATAATTGGCTGGTTTTAGATAATATTACCATAGTATTTGGATAAATATAATGAGATATCATGATTATGGTAATGTATTCTTACCATTTAAATGGTTTTCCATGGTGGTACCATTACAATACCGTGGTTTTACGGATATTTATAAAACTATGGTAGTACTGTGGTACTGAATGATTTATTTCCATATTTATATACCATGTTATGAATTAGTTATTCAAAGAATACCATGTTGTTGCCATGGTACATGGTAGCACCTGACTTTTCATTCTGACTATTAAAACAAGCAAATGCTCAAGACTAAATGTGAGTTATTTACTGATGATCTCTTGTGTGCATCCATGGGTCAGACGGCAGAATGACGTCCATCATCAAGCTGACGGCTCTTTCCGGAGTCCAGGAGGAATCGGCTCTGTGTTACCTGTTACAGGTGGACGAGTTCCGCTTCCTGCTGGATTGTGGCTGGGATGAAAGTTTCTCCATGGACATCATAGATTCCCTGAAGCGGTACGATCTTTGAACGGTGAGGTGGTGTTATTGAGATCATTTCCTGTTTGTGATGTGTATTTCCTGTCCTGTCTCTGTCAGGTATGTGCATCAGGTGGACGCAGTGCTGCTCTCTCACCCCGATCATCTGCATCTGGGCGCTTTACCGTACGCTGTGGGCAAGCTGGGGCTCAACTGCACCATCTACGCCACCATCCCCGTCTACAAGATGGGCCAGATGTTCATGTACGATCTCTATCAGGTGAGATGGATCGGTTTCAAAAGAAGCACTGATTATCATTAGCTCATACATTTGAAATACGGTTCTTCTTAACTGTGTCAAATTAGTCATTTACAAGTAAAAGTCTTGACAGTTCATGGCAACATTTATATGATGAAAATCACATAAAACTCAAACACAAATGAACACATTTACATATAAATTAATAATCGACACAAACATGCAATAATTAGAATTTTCATATTCAAACAATTTTCATGTCATCATTTTAAGATAATTAATTATTTTAGCAATAATGAAAAATAACTGTGTTTATTGTCAATAAATAATTTAAACATTCAAAAAAAAATTTGAGATCGTTATTAATAAAAAAAAATAAAAAATTGAGTGATTGTTTCTGAGGGATTGAGTTTAAATAATAATAAAAAAAAACATTTCCAGGTTGCATCACCCTAAAATGAATAAATAAATATATATATATGATTTTTTTTTCTTTCTTTTTTTTTGCATAAAGAAAATGAACCCAATTATAGGACCAATAAAATTTTCATAAGAATTAAGCATATTTCCCCCAAAACTACCTATTACTGTAATGCATCCAGATGTTTAATTTTTAAGCTGAATTCCCATTATTCCCAATGGTGATTTACTATAGTAAAAATTTAAATCAGCATAAAGGCAGAACAGTAAATATTATATATTATTTGAATTATTTTCACATTACAGTAATGATAAAGCATTTTTCAGGATGGGAATTTAGGGGCTAAAATATACTTAATTATCATGAAAATAAAGTCAGATTGAATAGATTTAAATGTGACGTATTGGAGAAAATCACTTTTTATAGTGGAAGTATGCAGGAACTGCACTTTATTATAATTATTTTACTTTGACAGAGATTTATGATGCATCAAAGACTTGTTAGTTGAACTTAAAATCCCCATGTAAAACATTTTTTGTAGTGTTCGATACTTCTCGCTTTGAGGCAGTGCTGAAATATGAATTGTTCCATCTTATTTGATCTCATAGTCTCGACACAACACTGAAGATTTCACTCTGTTCACACTGGATGACGTCGATTCAGCCTTTGACAAGATCCAGCAGCTGAAA